GGGTCCGCCGGGGTGGAGCGGGAGGAGGAAGCGGGTGGACTTGCCATGGACCTTTCCCGGTGTTTACAGCCACGCACGGATCCGTGCCCAAGCTGCCGGGATGCGGCTGAGCTTGTTCATCCTGCTCTGCCCCCGGGGAAACTGAGGAACGGGAGGGTGGGGAAGGCGGCACTCCCCGCCAGGAGCTCCGGGAGGAGCCAGAGCTGCCGTGGGAGGTTCCCACGTACCTGCCCGTCTATGGAGTCTGGACACTGTTTGGATGCGGGAATGGGAGATGTCCAGCACACGGAGATACGAGGTGTGCCCACCATCACCTCTCCGCTCGTCCCGCAGCGCTCCGACCCGCGCTTGCTCTCCCAGTTCTTTTATGCCGACGAGAGGGTGACACGGGTGGTGGCAGAGATCAACGGGCTGGATGCCGAACTGGACCCGCAGCAGTACCTGGTGCTCCTCAACCAGCTCCACCTCAGCCAGGTACGGGGCCAGCACGCCCCCCGATGTGGCCCCAGCCCCCCCGGGCAGCCGCGGGTGACATCCCTGCCCTCCCCAGGCTCACCTGCTGGCGGTCCTGGAGCGGATCATGGAGGAGTGCATCCCCACACGGCGGCACAGCCGTGACTACCTGGTCAAGTTCCCCGAGGAGCTCTTAGTGGACAACCTGGGGAACCACATGCTGTTTGCTGCCGAGGTGAGCCCAGGGATGCACTCTGGGAGGATCCAGCTCCCCGAGGCAGGGGAGTGGTGGGCACTGATGAGCTGACCCTGGGGTTAGAGGCTGTGCTGCCCTGGGTGCTGACTCCTGATGGTCCCTGTCCCAACAGTGTCTCCTAGCTGGGACCTTCCTGGAGGTGGAGGAGGCAGATGGGGCACAGCTGCGACCCCAGGCCAGGAACCTGCTGTGCAGCCTGGAGCAGGTGCGGACAGTGCTGCGGGAGCAGAGCCTGAGCCAGCCCAGCTCCTACCCAGAGCCTGTCCAGGCTGTGCTTGTCCAGTTTGACCGACTCTTTGCGGAGTTTGAGCTGAGGTGGGGGCCAGGGTTAGGGTGCTGGGGTGGTGGGGGGCTGTGCCGGGGCTGGAAGGGCCTCACAGTCTCCTCATCTCTCAGCTATGTGTCCTCACTGGTGGGAGTGAAATCTCCTGAGGAGATCTACAGGCAGCAGGAGATCATTGTGCTCTTCTGTGAGACAGTGGAGAGGTGAGGGACACCACGTGTCAGGTGGGGGGTGGTAGGGACCCCACCCCATGGATGGGCAGTGTCCTGTGGCTCAGTCCCACTGTGAGGGGGTGTTTGTGTCCCCAGAGCCCTGCGCCTAGGCTACCTGACCCAGGAGATGATTGATGGCTATGAACCACTGCTAATGTTCACCATCCCTCGCCTGGCCATTATCAGGTAGGTGCAGCCCCTCAGAAGCAGGAGCAGCTGCATGTTTCCTGCCCTGTACCAACCCCTTATCCCCATGGAGAGTTGGGGTCCTGGGCAACTCCTGATGGGATTTGGTCTCTATCCCCCAACAGTGGCCTCCTCATCTACCCTGAGGGTCCCCTCAGCCTGGAGCGGAGCCCTGAGGAGATGTCCCAGGTCTTCAGCCCCTTCTACAACCTCCTGAAGAAGATCAGGTATTCAGTGGGGGGTGAGAGGCGCCTGTAGGGCAGCAGTGGGGCTGTGACCTGGGGCTGATGCTGTCCCTTCACCACAGGGACCTGCTGCGGGTGCTGTCAGCAGAGGAGC